CTGACCATGAAAAAGAGTTGCATGGTTTTCTATTTCTGTGCATGCATGTGGTTCTGTTCCTATTAGTTATGGTGCTCCGCTTCGCTAATATTTTATTTGTTTTCCAACAATGCGTTTTATTATCATGTTTAACACCGCAGTTGGTGTGTTATTCTTTGTTCAAGTTACGATGGCCAAAGAAAATGAGTATTTGTCGATTTAGCTCGTAAAGATAGATGTCAGTGCTCCTAGTAAGTGAATAATCAGTCCAGACTAAGACAGGATGAAGAGTTCTTAGATAGCTAGTTGTCGGTGGGTATGCTGTGCGGAGCTGAACAATAAAAGGTTTGCTGATTCAAGAAAAGCGATTAATCTTTTTTGTCTTACGTTCTCCCGTCAAAGAGCAAATAACTGCAGAAAGTACATATTTTACCAACTGCGTTTGCAATGGACCTTTTTATAACCAAGTCAAAATCGGAAATACGTCTGCGTTCGCAGGCTAAACTTTTTACCGATGTCACGGTTTTCCGATTTTTTCTTTCCGAAAAGAGTAAGCCCCAGCGTTCGATTTATCATGCCCAATTTAGTTATTATGCGAAGTTTTATAAGAATCCTTCAGCTCGTCAAAATATGGGACCTCAAAGCCGGAGTGCCAAATTTTACCAAGAAATCTACTCCGGTGCCCCCTGGCAAACACTTCTTTGTAAAAATTGGCAACTTTGCATGCTTGCAACGGGTTCTTATGAAACTTTGCATGTTCACTAAATTTGACATGATAAATTGATCTATGGAGAGGTGGTTTTTCAGTTGATGCGAAAAATACGAGAAATTGTTGATATTGCGTGACATCGGAAAAAAATTAAAAGTCATTTATAAAATAATGCTCAGGTAATCATGTATAAGCGAAAGCGATTGGAGCTGGCGCGAGAGGCTTCAGAAGAAAATCTCGGACTTTTCCTGATCGGCGATCACGTCATTTGTTCCAACCTGAATTCAGTCATGGAAATGCTCTAGGTTTCAAAAGGATTACAGGCTCTTTATGGACTTTCTTTTCATTTAAAACAAGGAGTAGTGGGTAAAGGAGAACAAAAAGCCTTT